GCTGCCCTCGCCCGTGTTCGCAGCAGCGGCCAGGGCCCGCGGTCTGTAACGGAGCCCGCCCGGGGCTCCCCCCGCAGGAGCCCGGCCCTTGGGCAGAATTTTCGGACCTGTTCTCTCCTTCATCAGTCGATAACGAAGGTGCAAGCCTGGTAGGTCTTTAGTCTGCTGGAGTCGTGTTCTGCACTGCTTAACAGCACCCTCAAATGGCCAGTAAAAGCAGGTTTTTTGTTCCATTTTGACAAAGAACTTATAAATAATAGATACACTGGTTTGTTCCATATTCACAGTCCCTAATCGCTCAATTTAGAAATGTAATTTGTATGTTTAAATTAAAATTTTAATTTGCAGATGGACACACTTCGCAACCAGCAAAAACAAAACCTTGTTCAAAACTGAATGAAATGTTTTTTGAATTTAAATGAATTATTAAAAGTACTTCTCTTTGGCGAGGAATATATGGACGTTACTGTTTGGGGAACAAAGCCTGTCTTAAGAAACCCCAAATATCCCCAACATTTTGCCACTGCTAATGGGAATTACTTTGAGACAGTCCTCACACCTTTTCTTTGTGTTGCTTTACAGGATATGGTGCGTCGGGGCGAGATAATAGACGATGACATGGAAGACGAATTCTATCTGCGTCGCCTGGATGCTGGTCTCTTTGTTCTACAGCTCATTTGTTACATCATGGCAGAGATCTGCAATGCCAATGTTCCCCAGGTAAAGCGATGTGCAAGGTTGGCAGATCATCTGTGTTTCCATCCGTGATACAAACAAGACTCTAAATCCTTGCAGATGCTTCCTCGTTGAATAATCTCTTTGATTCCTTTCTCTGGGAGGAAACCCTCCTGCTGCATTTGTGCCGGTACAGCCTCATGCCTTACAGCGGTTGGGGGGGCGTTAGTGATTGTTGTCACTGAATTCACAGTCTGCCATGACCGGGGTCACGGTGTGAAGTGGAACAGCCCGATTTACGCCGCTGCTGAGAGCGGTGGAGGGGAACCTCCTCTTGCAGGTCTCACAGAGGCACGGGCTGCAGCAGGTGACATCTCCTGAGCCGTGCAGAGCGCTGCCTCGCCGCGCTGTGGCTACCCCGGGGTCTGTGACCGTGGTCCGTGGCCACGTGCGCCCGAGCCGCGTGCCCTCTGGGGGGCTGTGGGCTGGCGACGCTCGCCTGGGGTTTGCGGTGTGCAGGCCTTCAGCTCTTCCCTCGGAGTGGGAAAACGGGGGGTTGTGCGTGGTTTTGTGGTGTACTGATGATTATTTTTTTCCCTTTCATATCTCCCATCAGATTCGTCAGAGAGTCCATCAGATTCTGAACATGAGAGGCAGCTCCATTAAAATTGTTCGACACATCCTGAAGGGTGAGTTGAGATATTCCCATGCCTGTGTCTCGTCTCTGCTGGGGACAGCTTGGTTGTTGCTTTGTGGGATGGGCCTTCCCGTGAGCTTCTCCTCGGCCTCTCGAGCACCCTCCCGCCTTGGGAGGAGACCCTCGGCCTCAGGCCACGGGCTGTCGGCTGCTGCCGTGCAGGGACGTCGCTTCGTGCTGCCACCAGCTACAGCCTGGCTGGAACTCGCTGCCGACATTAACACTAGAGTAAATATTTAAGAGAAGTGTAGATGCATGCTAGAGGGAAGAATAGTGGAGTCTCATCTTTCATTAACATGGCCCTGCACTTTACCATCTGCACCATATTAGTATCCGTGGTGTATTTGTCTTGTTCTTAGTGTCAGATTAATATGGATTATTGCATTAAAGTATCCTCCGTAGCTTTAAAATGTAGCTGTTGTGATTTGCAATCCCAGTTTTAAAGTACTGCTTGTTATTTTTAATGCTTATGTTGAATTAGAGCAGCGCTGTCTGAGCTGTGCCTCTCGTCCATAGCCTGCTGTCCTTCAGCAGAAGCAGCTGCTTGAACTGGGGAGGAGGAGGAGAGGCCTCGGGCTCCCTCCTTGCTTAGCAGAGGGTTGGGCGGGACGTGTCTGCTCCCGGGGGGGCTGCGTTGCTTTCGGTGAGGGCTGAGGAGTCTCTTTCTCTTCTGAAGAGAAAGGAGGGTTGGCAGCATCTCCGGGGGGTAAGGGCTGTGGGCTGTTCCTGCTTGCTTTGGGAATAACAGTGACGTGCTCGTGGCCCGCCCTTCCCTCCCTCAGCACTGGCAGGTACAGGCAGCTTTTTTCTTGCAGATCCTGTCGGTTTTCTCCCTTCCCACATGCAGGAAAGGGGACCGGAGGGCTTGCTGGTACCATGAAGTTGAGTGATTTTCTGACAGTGCGATTACCCGCAGCTGTGGGCTCTCTTTGGCCCCTGTCCGTTGCCAACCAGTGCCTGCTGGCGAGCAGAGGGGCTGGACAGGATGTCTTTTCCGCTTTTAATTATGATACTTGAAAATTCCTGCCTCCAATCTGTCCATTTCCAACTTAGCGCGTGGCACACGTCCGCTTCCAGGTTCCCAGGCTTGACCTGGGCCGCAGGGATTTCTCTGCACACCTCGCTGGATTTACACCCTCACCTTCCTGCCTTCCGCGTGTTCATTTCCCTGCTGAGCTGAGTTGGAGGGCAGCTGCATAAACATTTCATGCGATTCTTTCTTTCACGACAGTGACTTGCACCGTGAACCTTTTGTCCGTGGTTTTATCTCGTCCCCAGGCTGTGATTGTCCAGCAGGTTGGGCCCTCGGCGCCGGGCGAGGCCCCGCGGGGCCTGGACACAGGGCCGGGGGCGCTCTCTTCAGCTCTCCCCGGCTCTCACACTTGCCGGTTTTAGGGACTTTTGCCATCCCAAGTGTCGATGGCCTTAGAAATGAATTTGTTGGTGGGCCCCTGTGAAATTCTGCAGCGGGGCCCGGCGGGTTCCTGCGGGGCAGGAGCAGCACTGAGCTGCTCTGCGGCCTGTGCTGGCGCCGTTTTAAAGCGTCTCGGTAGTTGCACGCCCGAGCCCGGCTGCGCTGTCGGTGTGGATTCAGCAGCTGTTGCCAGCGGCAGCGGGGACAGGCGATGCGCTCGGGG